TTTGATTTAACACACTACAATTATGTGGCACACACAACAATTACGCCCCAATACAACAGAATGAAAAAAAAAAACACTCGAAAAGAAATCCTAATCATGAGTTTGCTTATGATTTCGACGACGTTTAACGGCAATTTCGGCCAAACATACACACGCAATTCGATTTCCATTGCGCACATAAAAGTTGCCCTTTCTTAGGATATTTCAAACGCTGGTTCGCCTATTGATGCCAAAACACACTCATGTGCAGCCATCACCGAATGTTTCTTTGAATGCAAAAAAGGAACACAGTTTCTATTCAATTCATTTTGATCGGTTCGCGCGGCGCGAATGTCTTTGCCAGACCTCAAAATTAAATGCGAAGCCAAGAACCAAGTCGACATATCCATTCAGAATATATTTTTTTTTGTTCTATTGTCGATAAAATACGCCAAAAACCGAAATGAACATGTCAAACTGGCTGCCACATACAATGACTGCCAAACTACCATACTCGTGGTGAATGTGCGTTTCTCAAATTTAAATCAAATACAACGTTTAATTGGAAGCGCGAACGCATGAATTGAGTGCAGACGATGAGATGGAAAAATCGGATTTGGTGCAGGCACCCGAGCTGATTTCATTTCATTCTTGATAGCTTTCAATTGAGGATCATCAGATTTGTGCATGGTAATCGGTTTTTTTTTGGTAAATCGCTTTCCGGGCCTAAATGACAAAGAAACAAACGCACCAATGCACATCGTGTTTCAAATAAAACAGTAAGAAAAACTCGCATGAATAGAAGTTTACGACAAATAATTATAATTATTTTTTGGGCGGAATATTCTTTGTGTGAACATACACAGAGCGAAGAAAGATAAACTGAATGCAGTTTACGCAAAAAGAAAGAAAAAAAAATCATATGACAATTGACAAAACAAACGAAATCCGAAATTTCTAGTCTAGTTCAATGTCTCCACACATCGGCACATCGAAAAAGCCGATTTTGCTCTAAATTAACCTAAATCTCGTAAATATTTTGCACATTATCGTTCATTCACACTAATTACACTGGGCTCAACCTCCAACAATTTCAATTTCATTCTTTTCTTTTTAGTCTTCCTTTCTCTCTCTCTCTCTCTCTCTCTCTCTCTCTCTTTCTGTTCTTTTCTTTTCTTTGTGCACCGCTGCCGACGGGAACAAAAGTTGAATGAAGAGAGAAGCAGAAAGAGAGAGAGAGGAAAAGGTTGAACGGCTGCATACAACGTTTCAATATGCAATAATACTTAAAACTATTTAAACAATTGTATCAATACACTGTCTTAAACCGCATTGTCCTCGCAGGAGGTCGGTGGGTTTCATTGTCGATGTTTGGATTCTTTTCATATATCGCCGAAGCTAATGAATCTCATCTACTGTGTGCCGATGACAGCGAGATAATATAACGTAATTTTCCAATCGGCCAAATCCTTTAAGTGAACCCAACCAAAAAACAATCGTCAATTCCACGAACGAATAATGTGTGCCACAGTTTAAATAAAGTTGTGGATTACCAATTGCAATAAGCAATTGTATATTAATTGTTGGCAACATTTGTGCGACTGTTTAATAATAATATTGTTGCAAAATTCTATGTAAAAAAAGTTGTAGTGCATCTGTTTCTGTAGGCAAAACGTAGGTTCAGAGCGACTCAGAGTGGTCAAGCAGTGATTTGTAACGACAAGCAAATTTGGCTATGGCCTAGTCGACTCCCAGTCGAGTTAAAGCGGTCGGTATTGATATCTGGCATCATTCTAATCTACAATTGGAGCGATTGTTTTGCTCAAACACCCGAAACAATGGAATTTCAATTGTCATGTGAACAATGTCATACGAAGCCTTTCTGAATGAACATAGCAAATGTTCTGCGTAAGCAGATTGTGCATATTATCCTTCGGTTGTAACCGACCAGAAGAGTTATTTATCTATAATTGACCAGATTTATCTATGAGGATACACACACTACACATGGATGGAAATGTCATCTCTATCTTTCACCCATCCAAATGACATGATCTAAGAAGTGATCTCGCTCTTTGCATGCATACCAGCCATTGCATTGGTCAGTGATGTTTTCCTTTGTAAAAAGCAGAAAGAAAAAAAAAACTACTAAATAACACGATAATATACCAAACCATTCCCATGCAGTCATTCATCTATACCTCTCTCTCTCTCTTTCTCTCTCTCTCTCTCTCTCTCTCTCTCTCTCTGTCTGTGTGTGTGTGTGTGTGTGTGTGTCAATACTACGCTTGAGTTCATTCAAAGGTTTAAAAGATTACACACCGACAAACACTCTCAATCACACACGGTAGCGTAGTATACCAATCCAATGGACATATAGCTAGGAAAAAAATTGGAACAACATCGCATGCATTTCTCTCTTTTTGTTGTTGAATTACTGAATTATGTTATTTTGTTGTAAACGTCGAAAAAAATTACAAACGAAACAACAGAATGGGAAGAGAAAAAGAGAATTGAAACATCGTCTAGCATTGAGAAGAGTGCGTATGAATATGGGATTATGGATGTTTTGCAAGGATTTGGATCGAAACCTTGATGCTTTTTCTTCATCCACTTTGTTTTCGGGTTTGCTGTTTGTTGCCGTTGTGACTATAAACAAGCCGATTTGTGATATTATTGCGATTTTGCTTTTTTCCAATCATTCCGTTTGAACTAGAAAACTGAGTGCTAGAGAAAAAACAAGCAAACTAGACTCAAACACACCATCGACATTTTCACAAGAAGCCTTTGTGCAAAATCGTAGGAGAAACAGACGATTGTTTTTTCCTCGTACCTTTGCCATCCACACTTTCTTCGTTCGCATGTTTCTCACAATTTCCAAATTGCTAAATATTATAAACAGATTATCTGCCCACCGTTTTAAATGTTACATCTCTACTGATTTCAATTCGATTGTATACTTTAGTTGTCTATCAATTTCCTTTTGCCTTAACCTCTTTTCTTGTTCCTTTCTGATTCTTTGGATTGTTTTTTTTTGTTATCTTCTCGTCCAATTTTCGACAACTTTGATATGGATCTAAAACGGAAAAATTTATTGGTTTATTGGAGCGATCTTAATTTAGCTCTAATTTTGGTTTTCTAGTTGTGTGTGTGGCGATGCACTATCTCTCACTCTCTCAGTGGGAATGGATCCTTTGGGAAAAATTATGAGTAATTTTTTTGTCAAACTTATTAAACAAAGAGATCATCAAACCCAATCCAATTGAATACGGGTTTGGTCGCCGGGAAAACCGAAAGAAAATCTCGGTCTTGGAAATATTGTACAATAAGCCATTTTTCGCTGTTGTTGCTATTTTGAGCGCTGCTTGTGGTTTTTCGACGAAGCAGAAAAAAAATCCAAATTATTACTTGTAATTGGTGCAACCGAAATACTTGCACGCTACCTTTAATTGAACTATGACCACACCAAAACCAAATTCGAGGAACCCGAAAAAAACTGGTACGTGTTCAAAGAAGATGCATATATACAAAACGGTTGTTTGCTTATTTACCTTTACCTTGCGCTGCATGCTGACAGTAGGACAGATACTAATTTTCTATTCGAGCATTTTTAATGAGTTCTTCAACAATGCAGAACGGAACACAACAACAACAAAATACACCCAAATATTATTTGTACAGATAAGAGCGTAAATATTTTCACACTTTTGACTAAAATTAACAAGAAGTTCAGCCATTGTTTGCGATCATAACACGCATTACAGCATTCAACTTGGGTGTATATATAAGAGATTTGGTTTTTTTCTTCTTCCAATTCTTTGCTCGTATTCATGGATTAGATGGATTTTGTAATCGCTTACTTACATTTGCTATACAAACCAATCTTTGAATGGTGATTACGTTACGGAAGAGAGATGTACCATTGCATGAATAAAAACAAATGATGCTAGAAGGAACACCTTGTTCTCTCGTCTTGAATGATCTATAAATAATTATAAAGATGCCGAAACCAAATTGCTTTGGCCTAAATTCATGATGATTTCTTTTTTATTGGAATTCTTAGTATTCGTAATTATATAAGAGAAGAATTGTCGCAATATAAAAAATATGTGCAATATTCATGGTCCAAAAGCCAAACCAATCGAAAGTAGAGAAAAAAGCGAACAAGGCAGAAATCGATTTCGATGATGTTTGGCCAACGGTATCAATTTATAGCTCAATCGAAATGGCACATCTTGTTTTCTCTCAAACACGGTACAATGACGAGCATTTGGCAAAAGATGTGTAAACATTGAAAAAATGGCACATTTTATTTTATTTGCTTAAATTTTCTATTTTGCACCCTTGATATCATCGTCGCATCGCGCTTATAGTACGCGCTAGCAAATTGACGAACAAAAAAAGCAGCAACAACAACAACAGCAACACAGCACATATTGTAACGAATCGTCAAATCAGTCAGTTGTAGAAAGAAGAGGGCGGTAACATTTTCCGAGAGTGGTTCTCGCATTCATATTGCACATCACATTACATCGTATACATTTTTGGCACGGAACGAGCAATTTACAAACACACACACACGAACAGACACACAGCACTACTTTCGCCCTGTGTGCATGCACATTATGTACGACGATGTTTTTATGTATGTGAAAGATGGTGTATGAACAGAGCAGCGTTTCTCGGGCATAATACGCGCATCAGCTCATCATTGTAACAGTGCTGTTGATATAGAAAGAGGGAGAGAGAGAGTCGAGAAAAGAAAGAGGTAGAGACAAACACTCGAATCGACGTTTTTGTTGGCACTGCTGAGCAGCAGCAGCAGGATCGATGTGCATATATGTATGTACTTAAGTGTATAGTGTGTACTGTCGAATGTGTGCTCTCGGCTTATTGTTTGGTACGGTTCTGCAAAGTGGTCGTATATGTTTTCCTTTGCTCTATTTTTCGGTTGTTCTCGGCAATAAGAACGGGGCAAATGCTCGTACAAGTATACACAAACGAGGAGCGCAACAGCGACCAAAAACGAAAGAGAGACTAGCTGATGATATGCGCCTTTTACGGTTTTTCATTTCAATTCGGAATGTTCTTCGAGAACGAACGTTTGTGCAGAATGCTCGAATAAATATTTCGCCGTAAATTAAGTCTTCGGCAACGATAAAAAAACGAACAACGATAACAATAAGTGAAGAGTGAGCGACGAATGTGCATTCGCATTTTTAAGTGAAATAGTAATTGAAAAATAAACTTTTTAACAACAATATCTCGAGAAAAAAATCACCAAATTCTTCTTTGCTCGTTTGCGTGTTGATCATGTGTTGATTCAATTACTACTGTTTTTGTTGAGGAAATAAAAATAAAAATAAAATTCGCATTTTATTCAAAAGTTCAAGTTTCTTTGGAAAAGACATTTCTCGTGATATTTGACTCGTGCTGAATTGAGTAAGCTCACAGCTTTTTCTCCAGTGGTTGCCGCAGTGATCGATCGCAGTTTTCAACAAAACCGTGATATTTGCAGCAGTTATGGTCTATTTTGTAGGTCAATTTTCAATCGTTTTTCAATATTTATTTTGATCTTTTGTTATGAAGAGGTTTCCAGCCATTTTTTAGGTTTTATTTACAAATCAATACGAAATTTTCAATTCAATACTAAAACTTACACAAAAAATTTCCTCAATTTCCAATTCCCAATTTGATTTCTTGAGTTTTTCATCAAGAATCAAATCTTTGTGCAAGAAAACAAATATATCAACAATACCGTCGAAATGTTTACACGTTTTGATTGCGATTTAATGAAATGTGTAATCCCCACGCGAGCATTCGTGAACAACTATTTGGCTTCAATTATTCCAGTTTACCAGCTCGTTAGGCGCAGCCAATCTGTTTCAATCCACCGCAATAAAACTCCCCATTTCACCATTTTTCTCGACATATTTTACACAAATCCTTGAGGGAGTTTGAGTAATGTTTGTGTGTGAACGCGTTGAAAATAATATTTATATCAAAGAGAATCACACATACAAAAAAGCTACGATGCGTAAACAAAGGATCCACAACAAACAAAACCAAAAAAAGAGTTTGAAGATTTTAATTTATTGGGGTGTAAAATGGAAAGAAAAATTAACAAGCGGAACAAATGTTGATATCGCTAAAGTATGACTATCAGCTAGAGTTAAAATAGAAACAATAGAGACCGATTGCACAAAAGGGAAAAAGGGGATCTTTTTCCTACATTGAAAATGATTTGGTTTGAATTTAAAAAAAAATGGTTTCGCGGTTTTCTTCTCTTTTTGTTGTAATTTCAAATGCAAAATTGTTTGCATGTAAGATCATTGTTTTGATATCAGTTTGATATTTGGGGTATGATTGTATGTGAAAGTATTTTGAGGTAATTTCAACAATGAACACAGGAGAAAAAAGTCTCACTTTGTGTGTTTTTTTGTCATTATGCGAAATGAGCTCACTGTTTGAATGAAAAAAAAAACAACAACAACGAGTGACAGAATTGATGCGAACAACTTCTAAATCCTTCGATTCCTTCTCTTTTTCTCTCGGTGTGTATTTTTGAATAGAAAAAAAATTGTTTGTTTTGATTTATATACGGAACTTATGTCAATTCACATAAATTTGCATACGCCTTATGGTGCGCCACACTCTGTCCCATTTAAATCACAACAAATTAATAACACTTCGATGAATTCCAATAGAAAACGTTGCATACATAAATAGAACGGCACAATTCTTTCAATTAAATTCAATTTTGTAATAATTATTTCTGTATCCAGCGGTGCTAGTTTGCGCTTAATCCTTTTATTAAGAATTTTGAATACGATTTTTCGCTGTCATTTGTCAGAATATTGACTTTTGTATTTTTTTGTTCAATTTCAGATCTCTTCTGGTATGCAACCACGTAGCCCATCAGGCGTTCCATTGACGTCAAAAAGTCCAATTATGGAAACAGCAGCAAATAGCACACAATCAATAACTGCATCGCCCTTATCATCGCCACCAATCATGACAATTTCACCGTCAAACACATCGGCACAACAGCCGCAACAGCAACGAAATTCGTTGCCGTTGAAATTTTCGATAGCAAAAATTATGGAACCCGATTCAAAGCGATCATCATCGAGCCCAGTATCAAGTGCGACCGGTAATAATGCAATTGCCGACGATGAATCCAGCTCGGCATCAGATGTCGAAGTTATTTCGATGTCATCGTCAACCACATATGATTCAGCGTTTAAGAAATATATCCCAAAATCGGCAGCATCTTCGATTCCATCGATCGCTGGTGGCATTCAAGATAGAGTACAACATTTTGTGAGCAGCAGACATCAGGAATTAATTAATCAATATCCATTGCTTTATTATCCGGGTCAATTAATGTGTGCTGCCGCACAATATGCTGCTCTAACACAGCATACAAACGCTCTACTCGGCGCCAATGCCACACAAGCCCCATTCGATTTGAGATCATTGAGCACATCGATCACACATTTCCAGTCACAATCGATGCGACAATCAATTCTAAATGAAAAACTCTCACCATCACCCATTTCACCAACATCATCCGGCAATTTACCAACGTTACGCAACATTTCACCACCAAAAAATCATTCACCCTCTTCAACGGGAAGCGCCAGTGTCAACTCGAACGCAGCAAATCAAAAACAAAAAACATTCGCCTGTCCCGAATGCGGCAAAGTTTTCAACGCACACTACAATCTTACGCGTCATATGCCAGTTCACACCGGCGCTCGACCATTCATCTGCAAAATATGCGGCAAAGGCTTCCGGCAAGCATCAACACTCTGTCGTCATAAGTAAGTTTGAGTTTTTTTTTTGCTTTCTTAACATGATCAAAATATACAAATTTGAAAAATGCCAAAACCCAAAGATTTACCAACTTTTCGAATTAAAACCATTAAAAGTTTATTTAATTTTCTTTCCTTTTTCCGTTTCATCAGGATTATCCACACTTCCGACAAGCCACACAAGTGTCAAACTTGCGGAAAAGCATTCAATCGTTCATCAACTCTCAACACACATATTCGAATTCACAACGGATATAAGCCGTACAAGTGTGAATACTGTGGTAAAGGTAAGAGTAAGAGTCGATTTCTATCTCTTTTTTCAAAAATAAAAAAGTTCAAAACATTATATTGTTCTTTTTCTTGTTGTTGTTCGAAAAATCGCAATCACACTCAATTTATTCAATTTTTTCCCTTATTTTTCCGTTTTCCATTTCAGGTTTCCATCAAAAGGGCAACTACAAGAATCACAAGCTGACGCACAGCGGTGAAAAGGCTTACAAATGTTCGATCTGCAACAAGGCTTTCCATCAAATCTACAATTTAACTTTCCACATGCACACGCACAACGAAAAGAAGCCATACACGTGTACCGTTTGCTTCAAGGGATTCTGTCGTAATTTCGACTTGAAAAAGCACATTCGGAAAATCCACACCGAAACTGGTTCACGGAGTCGTTTGTTTGCTGGCCACTTGGGACAGCATGGCCTTCGTCAGCGTGTGACACGGTCGGCAACATCGAATGCACCGAGTGCTGTTGACAGCCAACCACAATCGATTTGGCAAGCAACAACCGTTTCGAATTTGATTGGATCGTCATCCATGATGCGCGGCCAAATACCATCGTCACCAAATGATGGCACTCGATCGCCTGGCGCCGAATATCAAATCCCATCATTCATTCTACCCGGTCAGATCAATAGCAATGCACACGAAAAACTCGATTCAAATGCTCCATTCATCGCCAAAGTGTTTTGACATCGATACTATTCGAATCAGAGCGCAAAGTACATGTCGATTAATTGAATTTTTGAACGGTGATGGAAACAGAAAATTTGATTTGAACGTAGATTATTTAAGCATTTATATACACATTTAAAGAATGATTTTCTCCTTGATTTGGAACCGAAGAAAACGACGATTTTCCAGTGCAATAACAGAAAATAAAAATGATTGATTTATATACTTTTGTCGATCGTATGATTGATAACGACAGATATGGAATTTTACTTTGGATTTAAGTTCATAAAGGCTTGCTTTCATTTTTATCATATATATATATATATATATATATATATATATTTAAAAGAAGAATTTCGATTTTAAGCTAGTTTCAAGTAATGCATTCCCATAGATTTTTTGCTTGACCATTTTTTTCCTTTGCGCAATATCACTTTCTCACCTCTCCTGTAGATAACTCCAGAATTTTAAGAGAGAAATACAAATGAAAAAACAAAGTGAATTGATCCAAATCTAGTGAAATTTTTCGTTTTTTTTTCGAACGAATCTTACAGACTTAGGATTCTTAGGGTTTAAGTGATAAAAATGCAAAATTCTTATCGATAAATGAATTGTATGTAGAGTTTCTCATAGTCAGTCGTGAGCCACAAATTCCATTGTATTAACAGTAAAAATATATATATTAATTTAAATCAAAGACACACAACAAAACGCATGTACAATTGATTTTACCAGAAATATACAAACCTATTGAAATCCAATTTGGAATCTGTTCTCTGCGCTTGCCTTGTTTCAGTTGGTGTTCAATTTTACCGAATTTGAATGGGTAAGATCGGCTTCCAGTGAACTTATGATTTTCGAATATTCTCTAAACTCTTGCAATTATTTACATCATTCGGTTAATAAAGCAATCTGAATGAACTGGTGGTGATGGCATGAAGGCTTCGTATGAGGGTTTTGAAACTAAAGTTCTGTTTTAAAATATGCTGTTATTGTAGTATGCTTGAGTGTGAAAACAAAAGCCAAAACATTAACACCATGGTCCATGGACCGAGGCGTGTGTATTGATTTATTTGAATGGTGTACTCGAAACGGCATGCACTGAAAAGAGATAGAGAAAGCCAGAGGTTTAATTCAATGCATCGCACAGGCGTCGTTCTGATTGAATGGTTGAATCAATTGAGTGAATGGCCCTTCAAGCACGCACAAACTTAGCCAACAATTGAATTCAACATACGTAAAGCCATGCTGTGGTACAATTAACGGAGGAAATTTCATAAATTCCATTTTAATCATGTTGCTTCAAATCGGTACAACATAAGTTGTTGTGTTACGTTCCGTCGAACCAATTTGGTCAATTTGGATGTTTTCATCGGTTTGCGTTTTCGCCAAAAAGGCGTTCAACTACGATTTATGTGGGGTTGTCTTGACGAACACAGCAACATAAATTGGTGCAATCGATGCAACGCAGAAATGAGCACCGAGGCCTGTTTCTAGTTTCAAAACTCTATCAGTTACGAGCTATTTTTGTTTGTTCTGCTATTTCCTTTCAACCAACACACACAAACACACAGTGAATCGGTTAACAACCGGAAATTCAACGCTGAAAAGTTCATGAAACTCACCCAAGTAAAAGCTTCTTTTGTTTGCCAACTGCAAACAACGATGTAAAAAGCACGAAATGGCACGGAAAATAAAAGTGCACAATCAGGGATTTGGTGCAAAAGTAATTAAAATAAACATCACGCGAATGCCTTCGTACATAAATTATCAAATCCGATGCCGAGAGAGAGAGAGAGAGAGAGAGAGAGAGAGAGAGAGTTGAAAAGTGAAAAGCCGTGCAATTAATACAACGTTTAACGTACTGCATACGTGCAGCTTAAGTTGCTGGTTGCATTCAACTGAAAACGACATCAAGTGAGCGGACGCGCGTGTTCAAAAAATGCGGCGGCTGCGAGTGGTGAAGGCGGTAATAAACATGTCATCAGATAAAGTATCCACAACAAAACACAAAAGCCGGTTATGTTTCCCACCATGTGCGCCTGATAAAAGACCATAAATATTAAAAAGTGCTGAAAATACCGCGGGGGTATCATTACACTAACAACAACATCATTTGCAAAATGAAATTCGTCCAAAATCTGCTGACATGGAGTGAACGCGCTCACTTTACAAACGCACTTGTTCCATAAATATATTGCCGGAATAACAAAAGACAGCCAATCACATCTCTAAACCAACTTATTGAATCATCGAATATTTCGAGCAACTTTTTTCAATCTTGTGTGGCTTGAGTTGAATATAATCAGATTTACGGCGACACTAGCAGCTTCTCTGCACACACATCGTAGAAGAGAGTACAAAAATCATAGCATTTTGGCAAATGCATCGAGTAACCATTGCGAAACATCAATACGTTTTGGCTAACGCGTAGTACCGGCCCACAGAGAAGCTGTTAGCGTCGCCGTGAAGTTGATTATATTCTAGTAGATTTCTGTTTGAACGCAAGCGTTTTCTTAGTATGGTCCGCAAAATTAAAAAAAAAAACAATTCTGCCACGAACCAGTTTATATTCTGAATCTAACATTTTGTGTTTTTTTTTAATTATGTAAACTCCAATATATCATATAAAACCGTAATTTTCTCTCATACATCTCGATTGAAAATGAAAGAAAAACAATTTTTTTTAAATACGGGTTTAACCTACCGAAAGAAATCAATTTTTTTGTCTTGTGTGCCAGCAGCATATTGGCACAATTCTATTTGGCAGAATCGAAACATTTTTATTTATTTAAAATTCAAATAATAATTGAACCATTGCGACATACAAATTCCCTCAGAATATTTTAGTTTTAAAGTGTAACATGAACTTTTTTTTCATGTGGAGTTGTTGTTGTAAACTCTATATAAAAAAAATTTCATGTTGCACTTTGAAACTAAAATATTCTGAGGGAATTTGTTTGGGAACGGTTCAATTATTATTTCACCACACATCACAATGACGAATATGTTTGACACTGCATTGAATACACCCATCAATGTAGTTCCCGTCAAAATGTGTGGCGGTGTTTGTTTTGAAGTTTAATGATCAAGACTATCGCGGTGGAAAATACACTCACCGCCAAACGAAACGCGCATATATTTTCGTCATTCCACCTTAAAATGGTACGTGAATTTCCCTGAAGTGTTTTTGCATCATAAATACAAATCCAGACCATTGAGCAATGTTGATGCATTTTTCCAATTCCTCTTTTTATTCGAAACAGCGCTGTCTGTATAATTTTCAGTCAGTCCCAGTGGTTCTCGCACTTTTTTTCTGTCTTTCTTATTCATTCACCCTCGCCACTCTCAAACGAGTGCTAAAAAGCATATATGCAAATTCATCGAGACAGAGAGAGAGAGAGAGCCCGGCTGTAAGAGCCAATGAATCAAAAAATGTGGAGAATGCATGCAAATCGCATGCACTACACTCAAATAAGCAATTAATATGTGCAAACAAATTAGTATGCATGCAAATGGTTATCATAATTTATCGTTCCTGTATGTACTTCGATTCGGTCACGCATGCCTTTTTGTTACGTGTGTATGTGTGTGAGAGAGAGTGAAAAGCAGCCAGTTTGTTGATATTTTTGCTATTCATTGCCTTTTTCTTGTACAATATATGTGCAAGTAAACGGATGGTAAGCGGTTATCGTGAAGGATTTCCACTCCTTTGATATGGGCTTTTTTACACGTACACACCGATTTATGATAAAAGTGCATATCCTGTGAAAAGACGCGCTATGCACTTGACAGCAGTTTAATTTTACAATTGCGCAAAATTTTTGCATTATTTTTCTCTAGATAGAACTAGAGGAGGTCGTACAATTTCATATGCATGCAGAAAACTGAAGATGTACTTGCCGCTTGAGTGTATGCCATTGCCAATAAATATATCGTCTTTTTTACGATTTGTAATTTATATTCACTCTGGCAATTTAATCGATGTGCTTAGAAAATGGTTTCACATTCAGAAAGAAAAACTGGTTCAGAAAGGAGGAAATGTTGAGGAATTTTATTATTAGGATTTTTGTGAACTTTGAACTTTTTCATTTCTTGCGACGTTGAGTCACTTCATGAATGAAAGTATTTACGTCTCTTTCGCGATTCAAATGAAATTCATTCGGCAGATGTATTGTATTTTTTCTTGAAAAAAACGGATAAATCTTCTGCTTTGCCGACGAAAAAAAATGGAGAATGTGTTGACGAAAGAAATGATATGGCCTTCTCCTTATATCACATCTACTCTCTCCACTCGCAGAAATTGAAATAAATCGAGCCAAATGCAATGAAATCGCGCTAATATTCGTATGAAGAATGAAAATGGCGTTCAATACGTTTCCATAATGCCTATAATCCTAATAATTCCAATGGAATTCATTCATTGATTTGAAACTCTTCATTTGTCTGCCATCTGCATGCAGAGCGCGGAAAATTCATTGTACGACGGTGATCATTCGGGCCGCGATGTGTCTAAAAAAGCATGTTCAATTGCCACGATGAACGATTCAATTTTCACATTTCTGTCAATGGCATGAGAGCAATTGTGTATTGCGCGATTTGAATTTGCAATGGTTGAGAATTCGCGTATGCAATGAAATTAGATTAGTGTGAAAAATACAGTTTTTAATGCACACGATTTGCGATGCTATTGAATAATTTTATCGTGAATTGTTGCTGCAAAAATGAAAAATCATGCATTTAGAAAATCGACTGACATTTTCGAAAACTATCGATGACAACGCTTGTTGGAAGTGTTTAGTCATCGCTAGCGAATGTTCAAATTTGGAAAAACAATTGAAAATGATATTTATGCCGTTAGTTCTCATGGGATCGGGGAAAATTCAGCATGCCGTCGTGGTGGCTGTGCCTAAGTACTTGATTTGCTAAGTAATCAATGAAACCTGTCATTAAAAATTCATTCGACAAATGTAGACAACAACCCATGGCGCGTTCAAATATGTTTGCTCAACGGACTGCGCGAAATACAGTGCTAATTTTAATAATGCCAAAGAGTTTATGATGTTGATGATGATGTTAACAATGAAATTTCCATATGCTTTTCTTCCACCGCTGCTGCTGCTGTGACGGTCGTTGCAACCAGGCGTTGAATGTTTCATCGAAAATTTTGCCATCGACTGTTGTGATGCGACTGTTTATGTTGTGTGTTTATTCGATTATTTTACGTTATAATTCCGGAAAGTGCGATTCTACAGTTCTCCTCCTCATTAAACTTAGAATGTTTTTTCAGTGAACGCCCGATTGAAAATCACGGGGTTGTGTTTT